CATAACGGATGTCAGATTGTAACGAAATTTACCTTTTGAGCCAATCAAATTCCCACAAACCAAACACTTGAAACATATTGCGTACTAGTGTCCGTACTGAAGATATTGTCTGTAAAGGTAATGAAAGCTTCTTAATAAACCATCTAGATGAGAGAACACAATTACACTAATATTTTCCATTGCTCATTAGTGATGGACTGCTGGATGGAATTCTTAAAATACGAATGGGAAATAGGGTGTGAATATAAAGATACTCTCATATAAAACTAGATGGTAGTCTCACAATATTTCGAATCGACAGAAGAATTCATAAACTATTGGATTCCGATGCCATGTTTGAGAAAAATCGAATTACTGTATCCACTAGTGCAGTTGTCTAGATTATAGTTCACGGCTTGTTGCGAGTAGCCATCTTGAATGTATCCCTGAAAAAATAATGGAATTTTGGAATCATTGAAAGGTTCACAGTTTCCCGATTTCCTGAGTTGTCTTTTTTTTCAGTCAATGCCTTTAGTATATCTAATTAGCTCTTATAGTCATAAATTTACTGGAACTTTAAATCCAAATAACCATTAGTCTCTGTGTGTATTTTAATTACAAAGCTCAAATAGTTAATTATATCATTTGGTTGAAGATATAATTTCTTTTTTAAATCGATATTATGAATACCATTCAATGTACTTTTCGGCTAAATTACCTTGGGAACAATTTTCACTTAACCTTATTAATTTTTCCCTTTGGCTTTCTTTCCTCATAGCATCATTAATAATATTCAATATTGTGAATGGAGTGATTATTTAAAAGAATAGAGTTAAGAATATCCTTTTCGATAATTTCCTCTCCTGGCTCTCCAATTATATATATATAACAGAAGTCGATAAACAATTATTTATAAACCATTTCTCCTCCTTTAGACTGCATCTTAAAAGAAGTGTAGGACTTGGGCACTGTAACAATATGCAATAAAAAGAGTAGCAACAAAATTTGTAATTATTTCACAATGTAGGCTAATTGAGGTAAGTAATCCTCCTCCTCGTCGTCCTCCTCTCTATCTTCCTCTCTCACATACACAAATACAAGATATCATGAAATAAATTGGACAGAAAGGTATACTGAATTCAATTAATACTAAGGTCACTGAAAAGTTAAAAGTGCATCCGCTTGGACTGACACCCTTAAGGTCAAATTTCCGTTCATACTTTTTATACTTTATTAATAACATTTCTCGGAAATCTTCCTTCTCTTATTAGTTTTCAAAGATTAGCTAAACTATGAAAGTGTTTCATGCGTCCTCATATGTGGAAAACATTTCAAAGGTCAAGTTTCAGATCTCCAATTTAATTATATATATATATAATACATCGAAGAATGAGTATTAAAACTAATTGAATAAATGATGAAAATGAAATAAATGAATAATGAATAAAAACTGAAATTTTGAATGACATTTTCAAAGTTAAATGACATTTTTTTTCTTCTATCTTGCCGTGTAGCAGTTTTACATTTTTACATGAACTTTTCGTTCATTTCACAAGGCTTTTTCAGAATTTCTTCTTACAACAGCTTCTGTTTTCACAAAGGTAATTGGGTAGGAGGGAATATCAATGAAACAATAAAATGAAATAAATAAGAAGACACCAGTTATTAGCACCTTTTGTATACTAGCAAAACAGACGATAAAAAAGATATGCATATAAATCAAGTTTTCGATTTTGAGTGTTTCTTTCCTAATGAAAACTTTGCAGTTGTTTATTTACCTAGGGTATAATTAATGGACAGAAAGTATTTGAAGCAAGGGTTAGAATAAAAATCTGTATTCTTGAAATGTCTCTCTCTATTTTTCTAGCACAGTAACCAAGGGTTTTTTACTACCGCTGCAACTAATCTTTAGTTGAAATGACTCCTCTGTCACTATATTGTTATGTTGAATGATTTGAAAAGAAGGCAACATTGGGTCGAACATAGGCGGACTACTGATCAAAAGTTCATTCGGGGATGGCGACTAGCAGGGGAATCCAGGATAACGCACATTTCGTTCTATTTAGGACTTGTCATCTAGATGTGCCTGCATTCCCCAGTGAGTGATGTTGTTCCCACCGAGGCTCGGACCCAGTGCCCATAGTTTCAAACGACAAAGCATTATCTACTAGACCGCTTAGTCCACGAGACCCACAATCCACCGATTAACTTCTTATTACATGCCCACGCATCGTTGAAACATCTGTTCAAGGAGCCGACTGTTAACCTGAGACTGAGCGCTTCAGTCCAAATCAATCAACGGGAAAATCTCAAACTGAATTAAATGAAGAACTACTGATCAGTTCAATTAGCAAAAGATGAAACCGGTCCTAATTTGGCGAATAAAACTGGACGATGATGTAGATGTACAATGATGTAAAGAAAAATATGAAAACAATTTTGCGTAGGGTTCGGAAAAAGCTAATTCATCCACAGATATATAAGGTAGTGTCATTCAGTCAGAAATATCACCATTTGGCAATAGAATTTAGCTAAATTAAGGAAGAAATACAATAATATGAATGGCTTCGTAGTTTGAGATCAGTGTAGGTAGCTTTTCCATTTGATATTCATTCTAGCCTTATGCTTCATTTTGAACTAGGCTGGTAATCTTATTCTTCCTTAGTAGGTTTCATATTTAATAACCATAAGGGTGTGCCTATCGGCAAGGGATACTGTAGCTACTTCTCCTGTCAGGATCCATCCCTTGCATTATTCATGCTTCACTAAATCCTCATTGGTCGCATTCTCATTTAATAACCTTCCTCCACAACATTTGCGATTGTGTCGACAGAAGAAAACAACTAATTATTTTTTTGATTACTTTTTAATAATGTTAGCTGGGAGACAGGCCTATCGTAAAGATGTCTGGGTTAACATCCCATTTCGTGAATAGCCAAGAAAGGAATATGGTAGGTTTCATTTTATTCTGAGCACAACTCATCAACTTACGAAGAAACAAGTGAGCAAAGTTTACTAGATTTAATAAGATGTGGAGACTAAGAAGCTTCAAATTATAATCGTCACTTCTTTAATTATCATTCCTATGCGAAAAAAACTATAGTTACTATGTAAAGGTAGTAAGCAACCATTATTTTAAGTATCATTTATGCCTGAAACACTATAAATAATAGTGACTATTTATTAAGCTGCAACCAGGCCGAACAAATAAATAAATTACATCACCTTAAAACCCAGACTAACTAATATACCTAAAAATGCACGTTACGATAATTTATTTTGTAAACTGTATGTAATTTGAACTGATAACATGCTTATTGATCAATAATCACGTAGAATCCAGACAAATACAGTATTACATCATAAATGTCTGGTCGTTTTGCTGCAAGTGCATGAACTACATATTTTTTTATTCTTATCAATTAGTTAGTTTTTTCAAAACAGGTAATTAGATCATCTGTTTGTCAGTATGACTGGTTGTATCCACATAAAGCTTACGTAGCCCTACACATATTTGCAGATCAGACAAAAATATGGATTAATGAAGCACTTGGTGATTTCTGTTAAAAGATTAGTGTTATAACTTGTGATGACTATTAACGCGATGATATAATATTAAGCTGTAGTAACATTAATTTAGCAAAATCAAAACGGGTCAATCAATACAGTCATACGACTGGCTACAGTAAAAAGGAAATGTCATTCAGTAGTTGCTGATGTTATTTTCTAGTTAGCCTATATGCAGATTGGTTACACAAGATGAAATGTTCATATTTAGTCTAGGGAGGTAGTTAAAGTTTGATGCTTGAGTGAATTTCAGTTTGACTCGACTTTTGAGTTCCTGTAGTGACTATTCCCTGCATAATATTAAATATTTTTTTTAACAGATTCAGTACCTCAAACTAACATTCTCCTTCAGAAACCAAACAAGGCCAAAAACGAGAAGCAGCTGTAGTTAAAGGAATTGTTATTCAGCTGTATTTCTACCGGACTAATATGCATATTGATCAAAAAGGAAATGTCAGTAATATATATCCGCTAGGAAAACAGCTATGGAAATGTAGTGCTGAAAGATGATTTTTGCTGCTGAAATTTTAGGTCACAAATGTACTAGTGATTATAGAACGAATTACATACTGAGAAAGTAAAAAAGAAACAATGGGGGATGTTTAAGGCGTATAACAAATTCCATGTAAAAGCAGCTACTCAGACTAGAATTATAGCAACATCAAAGCCCTTGATATTTCATTTAAAAAAGTATTTTGAGGTAAAATGCCTGAACAAATCGAGAATGACACTCATTGTGGTAATTTACATGACTACTGAAAAACTTAAAAGCTCTGCTTTCACTTGACGCTAAGATTGAGCATATGTTGAACTCTCGTCGGAAGAAGCAAAACACATCTGTGTTCGAAACAGTGGTTTATACATTAACATCTCTGAGATGCAAAGATATGCCGCTGAGAAGTCCAAAACTGCAAGTCAACCCATTGTCAGATGAATTCAGACATAAACAGTATTTGATTCACTTACAGCTGATATTATAATTTTTATTACTAGAAAAAAATAGCACATTCCATTTAAGTGAACTGTTTAAGTAAATGAAGTTTATTACAGTCACTGATATGTATGTAGCTACTGAAGTAAAATTCAATCAGGTGGATTATCTACAATGAAACCGAAAGATAAAAATCATTCCACTATTCCTTTCATAACCCACTAGAACAGTTTAAAACATTTACTGATTAATGACTGAGGTATACATCTCCACTATCACTTGGTATAAGTTAAATAAAAAGTGTCGCATTTAAAACATGCCGATGCCCAACAGTTAACTGTACACTATATTATTCAGTATTAATTTAAAAGCTTAACCTTAAATTGTCATTTTCGTTGAGTCAGCCGGTATAAATACTATTTGCACCAATAGTGAATGCTTACTTAATTCGCTTGCTCGAATCCGAGGGACTCAACCACTTCATTATATTTTACTTCGAGAGAGAAAAAGTCATTATTCATAAGTCATTTCTTTGTTTAATTTAGTTAGAAAAAAGTAATAGAAGTAAATCAAAATATAAAATGATTAAGATTAATAATTATAAACTCAAATCAAATCAATTCTTCCACAGTGGTATAATATGGTGTAAATATTCTTGTTGTATATGTCTATGCAAAAATTGCTAGAGGAAATCAAAAACTCGTTAGATTCAGTGACAGGATAATTAGAGTAATACCTGATATTCAGACGGTGATTATCAAATAACCGATATATGAATTAAATGCGAATGTAATCAAGAATGAAAATGAAAGTCTATAAAATCTATACAGTTATTGTCGTATTATCAGGACTAATAACAGCAGGAATGAGTGAAACATCTGATCACAGGTAAGAGTGAATAGAAAAAAGATTTAACCAAGTAATAAACAATGCATCATTTAATTTGTACATTTATTGTGAATAGAATTTGATGGACGGATTGAATATCGAAGTTTTCTCGCCCATGTAAAACGACTTGTATTCGCGTTATTATTAGGATCGAAAATTGAATTTGAAGGTGAACTAAAAGAATCCTGGGCAACATTAACTGAATCTTTAGTTTTTCTACATCTACTCATGCTTTCATTACTTCTTTAGTTGATTTCATATCCATTCGCCTTTCTGTAATTAGAGAAGGAAGTATTGTTGGTCCTACAGTGTGTTTTGTTTTCTGGTGTACAATGAACGGTGAATCTGAGTTAAGGGAACGCCGTATAGAATTTGTTGCGACTTTTGAAACTGCACGTTTGATCAGAGAAAATGGCTTTAGACTTAATCTTCCCTTCAAGCCACTGTTTGAGCGCTTCAAAGTAGATAATTTTTTAGACTGAGTAGAATCGGCATTGGTAGGAGTTCGAAAAGATAATTGGCTGTCATTTCTCTGGTATCTCTCATGACTGTTCGGTTTCGGTGAAAGACATAAATTTGAAATTGTTTGGGAATGAAGTCTTTCATCACTTTCAAGGTTTACTGACTGAGTTGCATCACTATAATAGACAGATGATAGCAAAAATTCTCGGTCATTTTCGTTATGAGAACATGATTCAGGTAATTCTGTAGCTGTGTACAACGGAAGATCGTTTACGATTACGTTTTCAGAGTGCGAGCACTGGCAGACTGATAATTTAGTTTGTCCATTTTCTGATAAACAACTGCAGATACACCTAGCAGAAACCAATACCCCAAAAGGTTGTGTATTTGTAACTTCCATAAGAGGGATAGGTAGTCTTCTCCCTCTTTCGTTTGTACTTCGTAATGAAACTTTCATTTGTGAAGTTTTCTCTGAAATGTGCGCTGAGGGTGTATCACTATATTCATCCAAGAAAGTTAGACTGACTTCATCTAACTGACGATATGTAGCCTGATTTTCTTTTCCATTAAAACTTGCATTTGGTGTAGAGACCACCTCTTTGTATGGTGATGAATTTGTTGTTTGGGAAGATAAACACGAACACCCAGATGTTGACCAGTTAGATGAGGAAGTATTAGATGAAGTGGTTTTCTTTGGCATACACTTAAGGCAGTCAGGATTAGACATTCTTAAGCTATCGGTGTATGGTACAGATGCAGAGGAGTTGTTTAGACCAATACCAGATGACTGTATGGTCACACTTGTTGGCTTTATCTTGAAATTTTTCAGCTTTCCGTCAACAGAGTAGCTAGGATGAAAAAGGAAACTTAGGGTTAGTAGATAGTCCAGAAATTCAAAGTTTAAATAAACAATTTTTACTTTTCATCCTCTGTTCATAGATCTTTTATCCATCTATATATAAAATATTTAAGCAACAGATGGTAACAGTAGGTTTATATAACTAAAATACATCAGGATATGAAGAAATACTTTTAGAAGTGTAGTGAAGCTCACCTTTCAGGTACTGTACATTTTTTCATTTTATTTTGACCAGGTAAGCAGTTACTAGAAAAGACTCTTTCAGAATTGAAATGGGGAAGAGAGCGAACTCGCGCAATTTTGTTCAGTAAACCACGAGGTAGGCTGAATGTGTCGTCAACAGAAAGAATCAACAATTCTGATGATAGTGATTGAGATCGTTTACGAGTATTAACAGTATATTTTCCTTCTCGATGTCGAGTAACTATGCGAACAGCATCAGGAATCTTAGTTGCTGATGTTTCTGTTTCATCAAAAGAAGTGAGCTTCTACAAAAAAAAGGAAAGCATAATTGCTGATTATATGTATACAAAGACGGAGATAAATAGGTAATTTATCTGTCAGTCTATTACTTCTATAAGGCACTCAGTCAACAATAAATTTCATTCCACTATTTTCTGTGTTTGTATGACATCATCAGGAGAAGTACCTTTTGATAAGGATGCAGGTGTCTTTTTAGCAACTTATGAGTTTTGTTCAACTATCTGAATATTCAAGTGATTTATTACAATAATTATTGTTCAGTTTTTACTGAACATTAGTTTCTGATGAACAGGCTTTCTGAAGTGTGAAAATCAGCCGCTGTCCGTGATTTTTTGTTAACCGGCAGGCGGTTTCAGCGATCTGTCACAGGTTTAAACTTAAATTATTTAACTCCCTCAGTTTCCCTGTTTCTGTGTGGTAAAATTAAACGTGTTTTGGAATTAATTCACTTTAACATTACTATTTAAGAATAACTTACCAAGGGATCTACTGTTGCTGAATTCACTGAATGAAGATAATTGCTTTCATGTGCACTTATGTCAGTACTTCTTTCAAACGGAATCACTGTGGCTCTTTGTTCACAACATGCATCCTTTTTTGATGGCGTTCTGTCGATTGGATTCGGAGGATTGGATTCTGGATTTGTAGGGAATGTATCCCTTGTCGAAAAACATTTACTAGATTCAGGAAATCTGCATTCTAACTTTTGTGATAAATCTTCATGACAATCTAAAGATTTTCGCAATGAATGATAACTACCTATCGGGAGGATAGATGTGCGACGTGCAGAAATGTTCTGTAATCTCTTTCTGGTAACTGTAGCTGTCTTTTGTCCTGTAAAACAGTCTGGATCAGGTTTTGTAGGTATATTGGAAAATTTGTTAGCAGTATTTGTTATCATTGGTGAAGAATAACCATGGCAATTTATTGTTTCATGTTTTGATAGCCTATGTGATGTAATTTCATTAGCTTTCCTATTAGAAGTACTCAGTTTCAGAGGGTTCCATGTTTTTCGACGTCTGAATGCTTGTTTCTGTATCAGTTTCTGAGTTGAGGAGGTAGTTGTTTGACTTTCACTTTTCTCGTCGTTCGATAATAATACAGTTTTGATATGATTTATCTGTTGAGTTATATCCTTTAGCTAAAAAAATAAAACAGAAAAATCAAAAAAGTTCATTACATAATTTACTGTATTCGACTGTACTGGTAAAAAGCCTTAATATTCCTTATGCAACTATGTGTTTTATGTAAACTGTTCTATACAGACCAATGTGAGATGAGACAGACTCCATCACACATATAGAAATAATTGTTACTGATACATCTTAACAAATTATAAGGCTGCTACACTACCAGTGAATAACATACATAATAATTTAATTGATAATGTTTTCCAGCTTGAGTTAATGAGTCTTTGTTTTAACTGTCAGCGGAAAAATTATCACATTGAAATTAAACCTGGAGATGAATACTCGAAGAACTGAAACTCACTTTTCATGCAGAACTGTTGCTTATACCAAAAGATAAAAGTAGTCAGTGTGTAGATAAGGTAAATCGCAAATATCCTTTGAGGAAATTAAACTTAATAAGTCGGTATCCATAGAAGATGCAAAATGTTTAAGAGTATTTCATTGAAATATGTGAAGACCCATGTCAAAAAGCTAGGTAGACAACTGTTGATATTCAGCTGACAGTATACCGAAATAAGACCTGCTTAAAGCCATCAAAATGTATGGGACACATTGTTTCCATTATCCGTGTACTTCTAAGAATCTCAACCAATTCTAGCGTACCGCCATGGATTTTATGAAAGTGGAAAAAGAGCATTATAGCACTTTCTAGCATTCTTCGGATTGAACAGTATCGCTTCAGATGATATATTATTGGTTGTTATGTTATCTGAAGATTTTCCAAGGAAGAAAGGGTGGGAGGGAAATATTTTGCAGGGAAACAAACTGATTGTTCAGTATTTTGTATAAACGGACTTTTCAGAATAAAGCTGTTACTATCATTACACTACATTTTATTAAACTAAGCTGGATGGTTAAACCTATTCATAATAACAGCAGACATTAAATGACCTAGGCATAATCCTACCTAACTTAGGTAGCTGAAGTCGTTGAATTATTTAGTATTTCATGTTGTCGTGTATGAAAATAATTTTATGTAACATGTAAGGTAACTGATGGTAGCATAAAAGATTTCACATAAAAGGTTACCTTTTTAGAATTGGATTTGTAAGCAATTTTGTAAGATTCACATTTTGTCTCCTTTGCTCTTTGTTTATGTACGGAGTATAATTGCGAGATAACAGCAAAGTCAACTTCAAGGCGTTTTAATTCAATTTCGTAGGTAGCGCGTCTGATATCTTCTACATTTTCATACGAATCATTTGATGATCGTAAATTTAACTGTAAATGCTGTCCTTCACTTTCAACGATTTCCTTATTTATTGAATAGTTGAACTTCATACTGCAATTGGTATTATCATCATCACTGTCACTGGCGTAATTTGTGTTATGAATATTTTCGTTATTGTTATAAAAATTAGCGTTAATATTTGTTGATGAATTACTCTTTAAATCCGATAATAAAACACGTGCTTCATTTTTATTTTTTGCATTCTTTAGTGATTGGTAATCACGACCTAATGAAACTGCTGTTGGCGAATAGTCAGTTGATAGAAATGAACTATAATCAGATATCGATGTACTCATAGTCATATGCTTCACACGATAACATTCTAACGAAGTCAATGAATTCTCAGTTTTTGTATCTTTACGATATTCACGTTTATTTAACGGAAAGCTCACTGTATTATAATCGTGTGTAGATGAATTCAAATTAGAACATGTATCAAGAGAACCAGTTAAATTGTTTAACTGTTTATTTGGAAATAATTCTGTACTAATACTGCGTCCAAATGCTTCCACTAAACGTCTAGCTTTACTGTGATAATTTCCAGTAACTTCATCATTTGGCAGTAAGCAGTCATCGATTACTCTTTCAATTTTACTTGCCCGTGAACGTATTGATGATCTTCTTGTAGACATCATATTAATCTAAGAAGAAAGAAAAGCAGTAGAACATTAGAAAATTAAAAATTCAAAAAAATTTTAAAAAATTAAAATTCAAAAAAAAATATATAATGAGTTTTGTCACAAACTTAAGCGTATCATTCAACTTACCAGCGGTGAGAATTTTCTTTTGTTTTGTAGATATTCATAATATTCTGCTTTCGTGCTTACCGTACTGACTTTGTGTACTAATAGATGTGATAAAGGATATGATGTATTTTTCAAGGGTTTATTGCAAATACCAAGTTCAATGCATAAGGATTCATAACCAGGTGGTACAGTTCCGGTAATCGACTGTAAAATATATAAATATACAATGTTGAGTATATATATATATATATTAATCGGCATTTCATGAATTCGTGGATCTAAGCATCAATGTACAAGTCATTATAAACCAAATGATCACAAAGCACTGACTAAAAGATTTGCGTATGATAACTGGATTAGCACACTTATCGTCTAACGTCAAAACAAGTAAAAAGAAAAGTCTAAATCTGCAAGTTATCACATTGTATTTGTTGAAAGTTCCTGTTTATTACCATAGTTTGTCAGACCAAAAACATGGAATGCATATAAGTGGTTGGACACTTGAGTGCACATGAGTGAACATATGATATGCTTTAGTAAACGCAAACTCAATGTTTAACGATGTAACTTGATAGCTAATTAACATTATGCGAATACCATTGTCTGAAACTTAAATGTAACCATTTTTGAGTGGTTATATTCCACTTAGCCCTAGAACTTCAGAGAGCAATAGTTTAAAATGGGTGTATAATCTTGTAATGATATATACATTTGCTACAATTATGTCAAATATCACCAAAAACAATCACATATCTGTGAGATTTACTGCTTATTGTGCTAAAACGTACCTAAACAAGAAGCTGTTAAAATGTGAAGGTTGGGAACATTAACTTACCCATTCCTCGTGTAATAATTTCAACAAATCCGTGTTTAGCTGTTTTAAGCGCTCAACAGTTTCGGTCTGACGTTGAATTAATGACTGCATTTTACTCACATTATCTTCAGAAAAATTAGACAGCGTCGATAAATCATAACCATTTTGTGATTCTGTCATGCAATCTAAAAAACAAAGTGAATAAATTGGTAACTAAAACATATTTATCATGATGTAATCCAAAACTCTATACAAGTTTTCGTTCGCCATCAGAACAACAAAAAATATTTGACAGTCGAATTTTAGATCAAATAAGTTAGATAATCACGTGTCCTAAAAACGGATTGATGGAGTTGAAATCACCCAAATATATGACCCAACATAAAAAATAAACAAAATCTCATGTCAACTGATGATGGGAAACAAACGTAGTAAGAATATCTGGTGACATAATAATGAAGAAAATTATTTCTGCAAGAAACATTCCAGGAAACAGACAGAGCATTCATCTAAATAGATTTCTACTATCGCTGATTCATACCTTAGATTAAAATTAAAGATAAAATAATTTTTGTAACAAATTTTGTTCGGCTGTCTGACTTCTTCGAAATAGATGGAAGAGTGAATGTGAACTATGCAAGAGAATGTTCAAAAATGTCCCTTTACTTGACTGTGTATAGCTTAAGACAGAGAGCAAGCAGAAAATACATTTTACAGAATCAGATAATTTGTTCACTGTGCTAATGAACTGATATTCTCGACTTCGAACAGATTGACAACAGGCTCGAATCCACAACCACCTACCCCATAAAATAAGTATGGTTCAATGATAAATGTTTAGAGCAGTTAAGTAGCATCCTTCCTTTCTTGTACTTTCATTCTCCATTTCGCTATTTATTTATTTCAGGGCAGTATGTATATACCTGTCGTTGGAGAGGGGTGTTTTCCATGCTACATAGTGATAGATATAATAATAATAATAAAAATCAGTCTAGCATCTCCTTTACAATATTTCAGAAGTAACTGAGGTACCCTAGACATAAAAGGTACAATCAAGAGTCAGTCTGACATCAGTACGAAAAGACATCATTCGGAATCATAGGCAAACAACTTCCATTGCGAAGTGAGGGTTGAACACTAAAAAAATACTGGAATATCATCTTATATTCGATTCAAAACTTTTAACTAACTTCCATAATTCTGCGTCGGTGGCATAGCGGTTAGGACGTTCACCGACCATGCATATGGTCCGGGATTCGATCCCCGGCCGACTCACTCCTTTACCTCGCTAAGCCGGAAATAATGCTGGTAAAGTGGCAAGGTTGGGCATGAGGCTAGCAACCCAATCCTGTAAAAATAAACACTGCTATAGAAACTTAAAGCTACTAGCTTGAAACCCTATGTTCCACTGGGAACGTGAAGGAAAAATTTAATTAAAAATTAAAATTTCCATAATTCTGTGCATAATAATGAAGACCACTTGGGAATAACTTGTTCCATATTTAAATGTCTTAGGTAATAATAATTTCCCGAGTAGTTCAAATTTAATCAATACCACACTGTGGAACGAAAACGAACACTTATCCTATTCAGTTATTAAGTTTTATCTAGCGAAAATTCTCATTTATAATGTAATAGTTTTCGATCATTTAACGACACCTAGACAACACATTAAATAATCAATTGGACGTTAAAATAGTTTATTTTCTCGATGTTTCATCTCGGCATCATATGCACCTTCATTTATCTTGATATTTAAGTGTTTAAGTTTTTATATAAATACAAGGTTTTTCCATCATTAATACTGATCACCAACACTTACCATTTGTTGATCGTGTTTTGTCCAGTGAACTGGACATTGTCTCAAACGTATATTTGTCTTCAGAAAGTGTATACATTGAACTGTATTCATCTGATTTATTCATTGAAGCTCCACAAAACTGCTGAACATTTGACTGACATTTGTATGTATTAACTGGGAGCATATTATATCTGATACCGCTATAACAACTAGAACTCGGGGATATTTGACTTGTATTTGCAGAATTTTCATTATTCTCAGTACAGACGGTAATCTACAGTTATAAAGATAATTAAATCATTATAAATATATGTAAACTTTAAATATAGTTACTATATGAATTCACTTGAGAGCCCACATTACAGAGAGTCTGCAGTTGACGTCTAATAACCTTAAACGCCATTTCACTAGATAAGTTTCAAGAGTACTTTCTATGCCTTCCAAATCGTACCTCATACACGACACTTTTAGGTATCAAGTTAACTAGGTCTATGTGGTAATTTGTTTAAGCTTAGAAATTATTAAAGAATCTTATGAGCCACACATGATTCAATCTATTAGGTATTGACAACCGAATATGCATATTTCAAGACAGCTGAAACGTACTAACAGGGGCATTCAGATAAATAATCAACCGCTACAAATCTTTTCTTCTGTCGAAAATTACTTATGCTGTAACGGTAACTACATTAAAATGAATATAAATCCTTTAGTTATTTTAGTATATGATGAGGTCTAAAGAACTAATAATTTACTCCTCAGTTATCTATCCTGAGATCACATTGAGTTATCACCGGTTTATATCTGGTTTATCCTTAGTGCGCATTCGACGTATTATTGCAAAAGAGATATGAACTGAACTAGTATGGTTCTTAATTTTGCCATATAAATGCATATATGTAAACACCGAGTTATAATCACACGGGGAATGTACTTTATTCACTGATCCATATTTTTGTATAAAAACATAAATAATTCATATCCTCTCCTATGGTTGCATGAGATATTTACATGACCCTGCTGTTTTATGGGTAACAAAGTTTATGTAGCACGTATGTTTCCCGATTTCTATCGATTTTCCTAGCACAAATGGTTGATTCAACACTAGACACAAAAATAAGTGGAAGAAAATAAATAGCCTTAATGACAAGTTTGGTTTTATCATCATAATTCATGTTTATTGTGCGGACGCCACATACAACAGCAGACAAACATGTATTACGCTAGATAAAATTCTCGTATGCATTAAAATCAGGCGGGGTAGTTAAGATGCATGGTCCACAGTGCCTTTTTATGCAGACAACGTAAATCATAAATCAGTCTTTCAGGTTAACCGCCTACATCCACTGTTTATATTGTAAAAAACACTGACAGTGACTGGAGAGTGTTTTCAGCATCTGATAGGTTTTTCTTATATGAATAATTTTTCCGTGTTTCGACTACTTATTACTGAGAAATAACAGTATGTGCAGACAGGAGGATTGACTTAATACACCCTCTAAATGACAATCCTATCTGGTCAAATTGCCCAGAATAACAAGACACATTGAGATATCTGGTTAGCACCTGTATGACAGTTAATGTGCCATCTTGTTAGATCAGCATGCCAAAAAACATGTACACGTTAGTTACTCCCAATGTTCCATAAAATTAATATTTCCGTATCCAATACCACTATAAGTGCGGTTAAGAGAATAAAACTGTTCACCTGTAGATTTTGTCTTAACCTTTTTAGCAAGATTCTATTATTCTTACTGATATTGTTATTATTATTACATTATTATTATTACATTTCACATCATAGTAGTTCAGGAAAAGAATGAATCATACAACCTGATAAAAGACATTCCAACAGACTAAATGTGATTACTAAGAAATTAAGGGGAAAGAAAAGGGAACTGAGGAAGATAGTCACCCATTTGACTAAATCGTTATGCAAACGTTTACACATGTGTTGCTGGGCCACTTATAAATGACTACAAAATTTAGTTATCAAAAAAAATTAATAAAGGACATAAACTCCTACAGATTTACATCTTTCTATGAATGAATAACTGAAGAGACGGATAACTAGCTACGTCCATAAACTATGGATAAACAACAATAGTTGAAATAAATGAGGTTGGAACATACTGATTTCTACATGACTGTTGCATGAAAACAAACACATTCTGATAGCCTAAGCCCTAAAGACAATAGCATCTACTAATGTGGCTATGGTAATTACTTTAAATAGACTATTCATTCAGTACAGTACTTTTGACATGTTATTCTTCTACAGTAATCCAGTTAAAAAAGCAACATTGATTCATCTGTCATTATCTCAAGGTATCAATTAAATGATACAATACCCTCTCTTAAGGAAAACAGAACTTTGAAGCTACTACCATTGACTCCATGCGTCGGTGGTTCAGTGGTAAAAATCTTTGGTCCCGGTTCAATCCCTGGTCGACGTACTCCTAGACCCCCTTAGCCGATAGTAAGGCTGGTAAAGAGGGAAGTTTGGGCGTTAGGCTAGCAACCTTACCCCATAGAAATAAAACCACTTCTGCCGAAACTTCAAAGCTCTAGCTCGAAGCTTTATGTTCCACTTTTAACGTCGAGGAATAAAATAAATAAATGATAGATACCATTGATCCCAGAGTATTGTAAAGTCTAGCGCTATTTTTCTGAAAATGAAAGGCAAGTCACGTAAGACTTTTCTCACATGTAAACCATCTTCGAACTCATACATTTTCATGATAATAATAATAATCACTTTATTCCAAAAACAATAATCCAGTAATAGACTTCAATCTTCGCCTACTATGGATTACTTGACTTATATAAATGACTGGTCATTAGTATTTACTATTGTTTTATTTAACTGAGCAACTGCTATGCATTTCATTTTAATATTATTGTGAAACATGTTAGTTGTAATGAAGTTGTAAAGAAACAAAAATTGTCATCTCACGAAATTTGTCTTCTAAATGCCTTATTCGAATTTATCAAAGGGATTAATTACCAATCATATGCAAGACTTGGAGTGCGACATAGCAAAGAAATATAATCTGATCATATACATATGAATAATATCTAAAGCTATTTCAGAATACATTAATTCAAGAAATGACTCACCTGTTCATTTTTTGCAATTGAACTTTTTAACATATTACTGTGAGTTATTGTAAGATTACTCATCACTATACAACGGTGATTATAACAGTAGTAACTGATGCAGTTTTAGTAATTCCAGTATTCGTAAATCCAATGCCAAATAACTTTTTAATCAATCCGCTAATTTTATTTGCACATGATGTTTTAGTTCTATGTATGGCGTGAAAAACGAACCCTTCAACCGTCTGTCACGAGAATGAGTGATAGAGTGAGGTAGGTAAGATTTATCCCAATAAAAAATGCTGAGTTCACAGGAGATCTAGATTTCAGTTAACCAATCACATTCTCACAACATCGACCAATCATATCAACGTTTCCGTCAATGCCGTTTTTGGTGGGCATACCCTTCACTGATTGGTTTATTAAACTGATTTGCTTTGAACATTCATTCTGTTTATCTAACTGGGATAACAGACACTACAAAGAATTATATTATAAATTATGTTACTTGTTTGGACAGAGAATTTTAAAAATTTCGTTTGTGTGACCCTTATTTCGCATTTCATTTATATATTATCCTCCAAGGTAAAAAAACAGACAGTGAGCTACAATCTTGCAAATTGTTATCAGATATACAAATTTTATAAGGACATTAAATGCCTTCATATATAATTACTAGTTGGACAAGTCTCCCTCTTGAAGGATAGAACAATCGCAAGCAAGTTTGCCATAGATGAGTGAACATCTTAATTTGACGACTAGTTTTCAGTCAGATACTTGAGAATCAACCACTACAGCAGTATTAAAATTCATGCAGGGGATTTTTACAAATATATGCAGTTATCTAATTTTACTGCTATAATTTGAGGAAAGAATACATTTGACTTATTGGTAATGTTTGTCGTTTAGGAAAAACAAAGTTTCTTCAAATAGTCATAAGTGGACTATTTCAAGGGAACACTAATGACTATTTCTCCTCTGAAGAACTTAGCACTATCCGATATCCACACTTTGACAGACGAAATACTCACTACTGAGTCTCGGTTCCAACTGTTATAATCTGAATTATGGAGCAAGAATCCACAGCCTGGCTTTTAAGGATTTCGATTCTGAAGTAGTTAACTCCGCCGATAATAAGTTATAGAGGAGTCGGTATGGAAATGCACTAGTTGAGTAGCATAGAATATCCGCATGAGTCTTCTTGGTAGCGAGAAGAAATATTCTGGCTTTAAATGTATGAAACACGCTGATTTATGCTATGACTATTTGAGGACAGACTTTCTTAAACCAATTAATTGAGCCAAACGAAGTAGCAAATATTAAGATAAAAAAGTGATTTATTCTTCTAAGCGACGATCTTCAGTGTCATTTTAAATAATACACTAGAGCTAACTAGCCCACATATTTTTGTTTCTGCACAATTTCTTTAACTGTTTACCTCATCTGTCTTCCTCAGTATTTGCTGAGGTCAGTATACTATATAATTTAAACTAAATGAGTTGTACTTCAGGAAATACATTCTAGTTGAGAAAATCTTTTTATGGTATCTTCAGTTCGCCAATTAACCAAACAGCGAGACCTCAGCAAAACATTGCCGTTTTGTCTTTCCTTCATTGGGGCATATAAAAAGATTTTTTTATATCAATTTAGAGTACTTCAGAAAAGTGTATCATTTCAAAAATGAAGTGAACGCAGACAAAATAGTGGTGAAGGGACAAATATATGTGAAAAAGAAGGAGTAATTCACCACAGATTAGCTAGAATAATTATAATTTTGAAGATTATACAAAGTGAATACATCATTACTGTTGCAAATAATTTTGAATGATATCAACAAGCATCTGGAACTTAACGTATTAAGGACTTTAGCAGGGTAACTCAAACCCCTTATAAGTCTCAGTCAGTCGAAGAATTCATGACTAAGTATCATGTTTTGATGTACCAATACCTGACTATTTTATTAATGCAATTAATAATTAATAATGTTCTTTGAGCTGGTTGGTTTAGTTGCAGAGCTTTCGTCGTCCTTTTGGAAAACATCTTCGGTGCAATATTTAGCATAACATCGTCGAAGCATCTGCACAAGAAGTCGACATGTCAACCTGAGACCGAGCACTTCGGTCCAATCAGTCGACGGGAAAACCAAAAATTCAATTCAATAAAGTGAAATGATTTAAATTTCTTCATGTGTGATATAATTGCGTCTCCCAGTAACCATCATTACATTTTCTATTGACTTGGATTTTAAACTTTATCGTCACATGATTTACTTTTATTAGTTGGTATATATGGTCTGTATTAACGTGTTTGTTAATTGCATATTCGTTTGAGTACCAGGTTACCGGGAGACGCAATTATATCACACATGAAGAAATTTAAATCATTTCACTTTATGCTAAATATTGCGCTGAAGATGTTGTCCAGAAGGACGACGAAAGCTCTGCAACTAAACCAACCAGCTCAGAGAACACTATTAATTACCAATCATCCACCTGAGCTAAAAATCTTCTCTACCTGACTATTTTCTTGACCAAAATGGGAAACGACGAGTTGGGCGTCAAAGGGTGACATAAGGATCATGTGAGGAAGGCACTCGAGGAGCCAGCTAAAACAGATTGCAGGGTATAAAGTGAAATGGAGATGTCATTATAGAAAAAAATCCCTATTTAGACATTTAGAAAACAGAAGGACTGAGTGAAGAAATATTTACTTTCCAATTAGATCCTCATCTCTGGCTCTACTCTAATATACATATATAGCATTTTAATTACAATACAACAGTTCCCCAATCAAATGGCGATAAGTTTGTTGACAATAATTAAACAGTGTCAAAATGTCAATGGGTTAATAATTAACGAAGAAAATCAATACACATTTAAAAGGTAGAAATGGCTATAATAAATTAATTTTACAAGGTTAACACGTAATAAACTTTACCATAGAGAAAGAAAGTAATGACAGTATCTCATTCCTAGATGTCTTCATGGCAAGGAAAGAAGATGGCACACTAAGAAGGAGTGTGTATAGGAAACCTACAACAAAAGGTCAGTACACTCATTTTTTGAGTTTTGTACCTTTGAAATATAAACGTAACCTGGTAAAGTGTCTGGTTCATATAGCCAGGTTAATCTGTTCAGACGACTGCCTCAATGAGGAGCTTAAGATTATTACAGAATTAATTAGAAAAAATGGTTATCCAGATAAATTCATTGAGAAAAATATGAATTCAGCAACAAGGAGAGTCAGCATGGCTCCAGTTTCGAAAAAACCAATGTTCACAAAATTACAGTTCCTCGGTGACAACATCAGCGAAATAATAACAGCGCCTGAAGAATGCAGTTAAAAGAGTTTATTATGCAGCAGAGGTATGTTATCTCTTCACAAACACCCCTATTCTATGTTCGAGAAATAAGGAAAAACTACCTAAATTCGCCTCCTCTATATGTATCTACCAATCTGACTGCAGCTGCGGAGCCAGCTACATTGGGTGTACAATTAGGCAAGTTCATCGTCGTATTTCTGAACATCATTCAACGTGGTTAAGCAAGGGAAAAAAAGGTCTATTCTTAGTTATATTTTAGCTCACCTCGTTGATACTGAGCATAAGGTTGATGTGAATACTGCATTTAAAATTATTTATCGCATTCCGACCAATCTTAATTTTGCTCTGCCAGTTCGTCTTCTACAGAGAGCTGGAGCAATCGGAATTCACCTGAAGAAGCCAAGCCTATGTGTTCAGAAAAAATTTGTACAGCCACTTTCCCTACCGTGGCCATCGTCACAAGAATGCATAAACAGGACTACGTCGCCCTCCTACCCCTAAACCTATAAAAATTATAATTGTCTAAATTATCTATTATATTTTTTATTTATTTAGTCCACTTCATCTTTAATTGCGTGTTAACCTTGTAAAATTAATTTATTATAGCCATTTCTACCTTTTAAATGTGTATTGATTTTCTTCGTTAATTATTAACCCATTGACATTTTGACACTGTTTAATTATTGTCAACAAACTTATCGCCATTTGATTGGGGAACTGTTGTATTGTAATTAAAATGCTATATATGTATATTAGAGTAGAGCCAGAGATGAGGATCTAATTGGAAAGTAAATATTTCTTCGCTCAGTCCTTCTGTTTTTTCTAAATGGAGATGTGTTGCTGAAGCCCACTGTTCTAAAAAGAACTCAAGAGACGAATCATATAATGTAATATTATATATATGTGCATCGGTGGCACAGTGGTTAGGACTCCCGCCGACCATGCACATGGTCCGAGGTTCGATCCTCCGCCGACGCACACCTGATATCTATAGTCGGACTATGAAATTTGGGCTACGGATATCACATGCTGAAAATTCCATTATTGTACCAAAAATACAGTGCGAAATTAAGCTGTAATAAAAAAAAATAAAAATAAAATAGATATATATACGTTGTAAGTTGCGGAACTGAATAAACACTTCAAAAAACAATAACACAAGCTTAGACTGCATTGATATAAGGAGACAGAACTTCTGATGATCGATTACGCATGTAGTATGTGTTTGCCTGCATATTTAATGAACTACCTCTTGAAAAGAAAATTTCGATAAATAATTTACTCATTAACTATATGACAGAAGTAAAACATCAGACCAGAATAAAACAGAAATTCGTGGTCCATCAATAACAACTTACTAGCGAACATAAGTCTGTGACTCTTCTGGGTTGACAACAACGGGACGAATTTGATAACATGACTTCTGTTTGATTTTATTTTTATTTCCTTACCTGTCTTTTTCATCAGTTACACAGTGAAGTCGGAGGTTGTTTACTCTGATATATTTGTTTCCTAAATTAGCTTTTGTTGCGTCAGTTTACGCATCATGGTAAAAGTTGGCATAGAGCATTCTTTGGGTTTCATTTAATCAATATGAACCTCTTTGTTTTTCAGTTGATATGGAAACATACTTTAAAATATTATGTTCTCCAACACTTGATGCTCAATCCAAATCTTCTCAATCTTCAATTTATTATTTCTACATTCCTGTTCTCAATAAAAAAAATCATGAAATTCTATATACTGTTTTCCCTTGATATAATAATAATTTTTCCTTCACTTTCCCCAGTGGAGCATAGGGCTTCAAGCCAATGGCTTGAAGTTTCTGTGGCAGTGTTTATTTTTACAGGACTGGGTTTCTAGCCTCATGCCCAACCTTTCCTCTTTACCAGCATTTTTTCTGGCTTAGCGAGGTAAAGGAGGGTGTCGGCCGGGGATCGAATCCCGGACCAT